ATTCCCTACTAGACCCCAGTAAGTTATTGGTAATATCTTAGGCCGCTACTTTGGGCCCTACGTTAGGAATGGAGGGCTAGGATTCTAAACCCACTGCTGAAATAATGTGTGGGGTTTTCCTACTGGGGGCTAGTCGTGAATCAGGACATAGATTCCGATACAATGCCTGTATAATCTATTCCCTCATTCCCTGCTAATCAACGGGAAATAAAGCAATCATTATTACTACACTCTCCACAAGGCTACTTTCAAATTTCCCCTTCACTCTGCCTAGACCCTAAACCCCTAACCATTGCATCAACATCTTAAGACTCTCTACGCCCAGGTCTGCCTCCAAAAGCCCGCCAGGCCCAGTCAAAGCATCCTCCGCATGGCTTCTTCAGGGGTCTATAGGGTTTCGGGCGCTATTTAGGTGGCTTCCCCAATTATAGCAGGATCCCTATAAATATCTCTAATATGTCACGATGAGTGGGCCGGGAGAACCAAACACGGTAATGTCCGTTCTACCATGTTTTTGCTTGCGAATCATGAAAACTTGTCTCGGTTGCGGAACTCAAGCTGAGTTACCGTGATATGGGTACATGGCAAATAGTCGGGTTCCTCTTATATTGGTAAGATAACTTCAGCTGCTGGTCGCATTCATGCCAAATACATCGCAACCAGACTCAAAATGTTGATTCGTACCATGTGCCTCTTACACTTGACTGCGCAGCCCAGTATGTGGCTACCTAGAACTGTGGTTATAATCTTAGTTCGTGTAAGGGCTACGCTGATCACTTGTTTGCTACCTGCCCATCGTTTGCTATTCAGACAATATATCACAGGCCATACCCCCGGTGCTAAGAAAAGTACACTCGCCCATCTCAAACCAACCCCTCTCAACTCTCTAAAACCCCAGGAACCCAGAGTATACCTACCCAATGAAACTTGAACCCGAACACCTTGCTTACAGTAAGGGCCCAAGCCCTAGAACCTTCCATTGAAAAAAACCTCCATCCCCTGCATTACGTACTACAATGAGGGGTTTAGGGCTTAGGGT